TTTGAACTAAAAATATTTAAACCACTGGCGTTTGTTGAATTTTTTACCCTATTTTAATGTATTATTTTTTTAACTAAAGTAAAACTGAATGYCTCATGAATTTGTATCAGACTAGTTGCGTGTTATCTTAAGGTTCTAGTGGTTTGTAGCAGGGTTTGTCGACGTCAACAGATGTTGAGCAAAAATCAGATTGAAATAGATTAAAAGGTTTATTCAACTCATATAAGTAAGAGGATAATTTCTATTTAATGGACTTCAAGATAAACTGGCTCTCATTAGGATAGAATCTTGACCTATTAAACCGGCACGGCATCTAAAAATTATTATTAGGTGCTATTTGGTTGCTAGTTTTCGTAACTCATGTTATGGATAGATGGACAATTGGGTGGGTCAGTGGGTGGGTCGATGGGTCGGTCGGTCGGTGKTTCGATGGGTGGGAGGATAGATGCACAGACTCGCGGTGGAACGGTGGGTGGGTAGAGAGATAGATTGAAGAATGGATGGATAAATGAATGAAAAACTGTAGAATGAATCAAGATGAAAACTAAAAAAACTGAGGAAAACATCGAACTTGATATTCGATATGCTCTCTTTGGTTGAAAGAAACGTAACTGCTCACTAGCTTTCGACAATGAGCATCCACAGAATGTATGCGTTTAACATTTTTTTCTTCTAATATATATAACTTGTCATTAAAAACCAACAAAACTGACCCCTTTTTTGTTTCACAGGACAGCAAGGACCAGATCTTAACCAGTTATATCTGGGTTCGTCAGGTAACAGACTTTATGACATAGCGATATTTTAGAAATAGTGTGCGATCATAAACCATAGCTGCAGACCACCCCTTCATCAGTCAATGGAAAATTGGATAGCYCAGTCCTAACCCCCACCCCAGCACCACGGGCAATGGTGATGCACATCCATTCCAGCGAGAAGAAAAGAAGGAAAGACGTGGCCGCCATGYTGGTTGACATGACAAAAGACACCATTACGCCAAKATTTTTTCGTCAGTCAGCCATGACGTCACATACGCCCCACGAATTCGTCTTTTGAACGCTAGTCCAGAACGTGTTGGATCGTGTTACGGTCACCAAAAGGTTCGGACATCGTTCTCGGATTCCCATACAAATTCTCTGAATTTTAAAAGAAAATTCAGATCGATTTTTATAGTTACTTTTCCAAACAGCAGTAAGAAAAGCTTCAATCAAATTAGAAAAATGATATTTTCTTGTATTTAGAGAGCTAACTAAACAAACCRAGTRAAGAATTTGTTTAGAAAGTTAAATGTTAACTTTATTTAACCAGGGTAGCCTATTCATTGACTATCAGCTACGAGGCTGGTATCCAGCGGCGCCCCAGTGCGGCCTTCAGTACATTCGTACAAAAATCCGAGAACAAACTCCGAACTTCTTGGTGACCGTAACACAATCCAACACGTTTTATACCRCGTRATGGCTAGCGCTAAAAGTAAAGCCCACAATGGACCTTTTAAAGTCCATTGAACATTTATATTTTGATCGATAGTTTATATTATTGAATTATTATCCGAACAGTTTTGGAACAACACACGTCTGGCATGGAATCCTGCTGATTATGGAGGAATCAAATCTCTGCACATCGATCCTAAACTATGCTGGGTACCTGACATTGTCCTTTACAACAAGTAAGTCAGGCTTATTTTTGATCCTTTTGATCCTCTTAGGAATGGTTGAAAACCAGAAGCTGAAAACCACCTATTTTCGTTGACCTGTTTTCGTTATGGCGTATGATTTAAAATGATATTGATTTTTCGTGTTTTGATGTATTGCATGTATAGGAATTTTTATATGAGGCTTAGATTTTTTTCAGCTTCACAATGTTTTTGTTTTGTTAGTAAATATGAAGTACAATTTTTTTATTGACGAGTTTTTATGCCATACATCACACGAACTTTCGAGTCGCTCGATCCTCGAACGAGTGAGTGATAAATATAGCACAACAAATCGATGGAATAGAAAAATATTTGAACTCTTAACGTGTAATAATTTCTTTATTACACATTTAAAAGCATTAAATATAAGCACAACATGAGAAAATACTAAACTAAATGAGAACAGAGAGTCTAGCTACTTACTTCAATAGTCGAGCAGAAATTTCTTGAGCTTCAATACTGACTTTAAAATGGATAATTCCTTGTCGTATGGACTTCTTTGACCCTTCATAAACTTTCTACATAATTTTGCGTCTTGGGTCGSCCTTCAAGAGTGTTTTTGTTTTCGTTTTCTTTCAAAAATTCCGAGATAACTTCGTCTAAACTTATTACAAATCTTGAACTTGAACGCTTGAACCGCCATTTTCCCCAAGTTGTTTAAAAGAGGCGGGAAACTAGACGCGCTTGCGCATGGTCTGCAGAAATGTAACAATGATTGTGATTGGTCAGAATTTTACCTCCTGATTGYTCATTATCTTTTCTTAAATTTTTTGAGTGAAAATTAGCAGTTAATTCAATTTGATTGGATGGACAGTGGTTTCCCTTGCTTTTAGATCCATTGGGATTTGGCGGGCAATTTATTATACATCATTTCACACTACATGAATGTTAAATTCCATGCCCTGTCCCGGGGGACTGGAGGTAGGGGGTTTAATAGCGCAGCGCAACCGTGACGTCATAAAAACGAAGACAAAGGCGAAATTCGGACAAACAAACTTACAAGTTTACTTTCAGCAGATAATTTTCACAGCTGATCGCAGTTGATCTTAGTTTACATGGGTTATTATTGTTACTTTARGTAAAAATAATAAACTCGGTTCGTATAATCCTCGTAGCGGTTAAACAGAATGCAATGTTTGTCCGAATCTTTTAGCTATATTTAGAATCACTGCGCTACGCTATTGACTAGTGCATAAATCGGCATGGGCAGCATACTGCCGGCCTAGCCTGCGTAGCTCGGCTCTGGGGGGAGGGGAGAGGAGGGGAAGAGGAGAAGAAGGGAGAGCCTGCCCGCCCAAAGACACACTCAAAATTTCTTGTAGTTAGTAGAGGGGCATGATTTTATTTCATAGTGACGAGAAATTAGAAGGACAAACGTTGATATTTCTAAACGAATTTATCTTTTCCCATAGCATCAATGAGAACACGATCGGAGAGATGTTCAAGTTCGACACCAAGATCATCATACGCTACGATGGCTACATCGAATGGTACGCACCAACGCTCATCAAATCCATCTGTAAAATCGATATCACCTACTTCCCTTTTGACCGACAAACGTGCAAGCTCGTGTTCGGTTCCTGGACCTTCACCAGCGAGTATCTTCTGCTTGAAGTCAAAGGCAACGAGCCTGACCTTTCAAAGTACACTCCTAATGGTGAATGGGACTTGATCAAAGTCACTAGAAAGAAAAATGTTGTTAAGTACTCGTGTTGTGCCTACCCTTATATCGACATCACTTATTCGATATACATCCAGCGACGACCCATGTTCTACGTCCAGAATCTTATAATTCCTTGCATTCTTTTGGCAACCCTTTCAGTGCTTTCTTTCTCGTTGCCGCCTGGTTCTGGAGAAAGGATCGCTCTAATGATAACATTATTGCTTGGCCTCACAGTCTACATGTTGATATTTACCGAAAACATCCCCAAGACATCAGAAGTCGTCCCTGTGATTAACAAGTTCTTTGTTGCGGTACTCTTTGAAGTGGCGCTTTGTCTTCTCGCCACGTCAATCACTCTGCAATTTTATCACTATCACGACCCCGAGAAAGAAATCCCTGTATGGTTACAATTCTTGATTTTCTCCTGCTTGGCAAAGATTCTAAGAATGAAAATGAAAAAAGCGTCTCCAAATGAACTGATAATGTCCAGCCAATCAAAAAGAGAATGCCAGTCAATGAGTCCATTGCTCAGCATCGACCATTCCTCCAAGTGTAAACTCTGTTGTATGTCCCAAGGATCGGTCTACAAGCCTGCGCCACCTTCTAACAGTTCTCTGCTTCTAGATCGTCTGGATGGCATACAGTACAAGCTTGATGGTCTTTATCGGGCTATGAGCGAAAAGGTGGCCTTAACTACGTTCAAGGAGCAATGGCACTTTGCAGCTATGGTGCTGGATAGATTTTTCTACATCGTGTCTGCTACCATTATCTTCGTATCCCTTGCTTCTTTCTATGTTATGATTCCTGAATGACTTTGAGGATCATTTACTGACCATTTACGGCAAGGCATCACGGTATATCGATCATCATTTTTTCAATATATCACATGGTACAATGCGCGTCAATTAATTAAGTCATRAATATTAAAACTAATTTAGGCAGGAAGCTTAATGGACCTTCTTAAAATTATCCTGGATGCAAGACCAACATGAAAATACAAAAGCAAAACGCACTTTCTCTCGCTGGAATTAGTGGCATGTGCCGTGTTACTCTCGCATCCAAGAAGGGTCCATTAAGTTAATTAATGATTTCAAAGCAAATTCTGAAAAATTTTTTTTTTTTAAAGAAACTTATTTAAAAATTTCTGAACTAGAAATTTTTTCATGATAATTTGTCTTATCAACCATAAATTTTAAGATTAAATTTAGAAATTTTTTGTTATGTTATTTGGTAGTTTAAAGTTGTACCTGATCTGAAAATAAAAATCGTGTTCTGAGAAATCCATAGTCACTCATCGTATGTGGTAGTCCGACTCGTGGTCTTCCTTCCTTCCTTCCTTCCTTCCTTCCTTCCTTCCTTCCTTCCTTCCTTCCTTCCTTCCAATCATTTCGAAAATGAACTATTACTGGTCAGCGTAGATTTAAAAATTGACGCATGCGCACCCTGAGGCAAATTTAAAATGGCGGACGAAGTGGAAAAAGAAGTAGAAACTACACGATGTGCATTTTTCATGAAAAGAAAAAATCGGTTTTGTAAAATGATTGTCGGTAAAGGCAAGAAGTATTGTGGTGAGCATTCCCACCTTGGCGGAGAAGACAAGGTAAGATAGCAAAGAAAATATAGAGTGATACGAGTAGAAAAGTGTTACCATAAAGCTAAAATTAATTTAAATGATTTCAAAAGAAGCGTATAAGGAACCAGGACTTGAAAAATGAATAAGTATTGTATTATGATTTAGCTGACTCAAGCTTTGAGCTTATCAAAGTCAGGGCACTGCTTTATACTCACAGATCAAACCCTGAAACAACCTCTGGGTTGATCTAAGTAAGGGCATGGCTAACTCACAGATCAAACCCTGAAACAACCTCTGGGCTGATCTAAGTCAGGGCATGGATAACTCACAGATCAAACCCTGAAACAACCTCTGGGTTGATCTAAGTAAGGGCATGGATAACTTACAGATCAAACCCTGAAACAACCTCTGGGTTGATCTAAGTCAGGGCACGGCTAACCCACAGATCAAACCCTGAAAMAACCTCTGGGTTGATCTAAGTCAGGGCATGGCTAACTCACAGATCAAACCCTGAAAAAACCTCTGGGCTGATTTAAGTCAGGGCATGGATAACTCACAGATAGAACCCTGAAACAACCTCTGGGCTGATCTACGTCAGGGCACGGCTAACTCACAGATTGAACCCTTAAACAACCTCTGGGCTGATCTAAGTCAGGGCTTGGATAACTCACAGATTGAACCCTTAAACAACCTCTGGGCTGATTTTAGTCACAGCATGCATGGCTAACTCACAGATTAAACTCTGTCATCATTATTAATTGTAGATTCCTATGTTGTGATATAACTTGGATATGTGATTCTATTTTCCTGTTCAGGCTTCTGGTCGTACTAGAATACCTTGTCCATTAGACCCAAAACAGTAAGTTCAACAAGTTAGATTATGTAGGTCTATTCATCTTAAGATCATGGGTTGTTATCAAATTTGTCACATTTATTTCTTTCAAAGCACAGTTTTTGAAGATCAACTACAGAAGCACCTGAAGTGCTGTAACGTAACCAAAAAAATAGATGTGGTAAGTTTTATAAATATCTACTAAATATAGAAATTATACTCATGAAGTGTGTCAGAGGGAGATATTATGCACATTACAGGCTGCTCATCTTGATCCTATACCTCCTAGGATCATCACTGATGTAAAATGTAAAGAGCAAGCTATAGCGCAAATTTGGTGGTCATCATAAAACAATTTAATAATAATAATAATAACTTTAATATTTATAACAYGCATATTCCATATGGATATGCTCACATGCATAGATTTAATTATAGATTAAAGACTTATCAACACAATTCACAATCAACACAATTGTATTTGTATTATATAAGTAGGCAAAAATTAATGATGGTGTACATGTAGGCCAAACTATTGAAACATTAACCAGTTGTTTTGTTACATGTTAGTTTTGATACAGGTCAGTTAATACATTGTTATATGTGTATGTTCAGTTAATAACATGTATATGGTCATTTCTGTACATGACTATCTAGGATACAACCACCCTCTTTGAAATCCTCCTAAATGTTATCTGCTGACACCATCYGACTTCTTAAATTTATCCTTAATGATCATTATATTTTAATATATTTATTATAGGCTTATTATCAAAAGAACATTAATTCTGGTATACCAAATTACCAATTATCTGACAATGAAAAGGTAAAATGAAATAGAACATATATACATACAATAGTAACAGTACATAATATAAATATAATGATTAAAAAATATTGAATGGATGAATGAAGGGATGAATGAATGGATGGATGCATAAATGAGTGAATGGATGAATAAATGAATTGAATAGTTTGAATGAAAAGATGAAATTGTAGAAGACATGAAGTAAGAAATAAATTAATGCGTGAAGTAATAGAATGAAATGAATGATGATGATAATGATTATCATTGTTACTGTCATTACTAGGTTTCCTTAGTTGATGTATCACTTGAAAAAGTTCAAGAAATAATCGATAAAGTAAAAACAGCAAACAAAGGTATGTAAATATGTCCTGCTAATGATGTAACAATTATCATATAGTACATCATAAAAATTCCTCCTCTTTATCAGTAATAATAATTACATAAAAATCATGAATTAAATTGTTAATGATAATGAATCATCTAGTATAATTCTGTGGCTTGCAATCATTCCCAAGAGAGTGGAGGGGAGGGGGGGGGGTCATGTTGGTTGACATACAGTACACCGTAATGAGAGAGATAAATAGCAAATCCTTAGTTTAATTTAACCAAGATGGCAGCTATGAAAACAGCAATAGATTTGTTCAAATCCTTTTCCTTCACAGAGCATTGTCCAAAGATTAAAGAAGAGATCTTATCCCACACTGTTTTTAAAGATGAACTTGACAATGATGATTATGGCATATCGGCACTGAAACACCTGAAACAACAGGTAAGGAGATGGGCATATGAATGGACAGATGTTTATTAAATGAATTAATGGAAGACAGATGGACGGATGGGTGGACAGATGGACAGATGAACAGATGGGTGGACGGATGGACGGACGGATGGATGGATGGGCAGACGGATGGACGGATGGATGAACGGGTGGATGGATGGATGGATTGATCTAAAAATGGAAGGAATGACTGAAGGAAGAAATAAATGAATGAAAGTAAATGAACAAGAATGAATGAATAAATGAATGAATGAACAATATGTAGTAACTAACTAGTACATACCCAACTGACCCAAATCTGCTCTCATTTCCAGGCATCTCTAGTTGGTCACTTACAAAAGCTCAACCTTCTTAACTCTGATACTGTTTATCTTGAATTTGGAGCCGGAAGAGGTTAGAATTGCTTACTGTACTTCCTTTTGTTTCCTGTCTATGCTACTTTGTTTTGTTTATTTCTCAGTTTATTCGTTGTGTTTTAGGCAAATTATCTCACTGGATTCAACTCGCTCTCCCAAATACAAACAATACAGATTTTGTGTTAATTGACAGAGCAAGCAAAAGACACAAGGTACAAACTAAGCTTGGTGTATGGTATGGTCCAACATATACTGTATTTGTATTGTTCACGGTGTGGAATTTCTGATTTGTGGGGAGGGTCTGAGGAGGGTGTATTGTGTAGTTCTAGAAAGTATCCATACAGCCTCCCCAAGAAAGGGGATTGGAATTTTCAAGGGGGAGGGTCAGAGGAGGCCTTGCAGCAGGTTAGAATGCACTGCTGTATTTCAAAGTGATGGCAAAACAATACAGGTTTCCAATTCTCAGGAGATTGAAATTATTTTATTTTGTCTTATAAATTGAGCTCCTTTGATGTCTATGGTGTAGTTCGAGAAATTAAATGTAAGACATATACACATAGTATGGAAAACATGGGTGGTATACATGTAGCAGTGAGAGCACACACCTCTCACCAACACGACCCGGGTTTGAAACCCGCTGAGCTCGGTGTCGTATGTGAGTAGAGTTGCTCATTGGTTCTCTCCTGTGCTTCGAGGGTTTTATCTGGTTTTCCTCCCTCTGCAAATATCAACTTCTAAATTCCAATTGGAATACACAGTGGAAGAAGAGACACTCTGTGGAATCCAATGTTAATCCCATTATCATTATTTATTATTATTATTATTATTATTATTATAATATTTGGATTTTCTATAACTACCATAAGCATTTTATTCCTATTTTTTAATGCTTTCAATGGCAACATGAAAAAAGTATTGTAAATAATTGAATTAATAATTTCATGCTTTCTTTTATTAGTTTGATTCTTGTCACAAGCGCAGTGGACAAGGGCCAAACTTTAAAAGACTTAATGTTGATATAGAACATCTTAACTTAGGTGGGTGAAACACTAATAAAGACAAGTTTCAGCTGAAAAATTCATGCACCTGAAACTTGAGTCAAAAAACAACAACTTAACAAGAAATTGTGCAGAATAAATAAGTTGCTCTCATCATAATCCAGTTTGAAACAAGTTTTTTTCAATCTTTTTTTTAAAATAATTTTTAATAAGTGAACTTTATTACTCAACATCGTAGGTAAAGTAGAATGTGTTTGTGAAGGATCAAGAGACATTGTTGCAGCCAGTAAACATTTGTGTGGAACAGCAACTGGTGAGTTTTACTCCATCAAATAATTTTTTAGAAATATTTGACTTTTCAAAGATGATTCATCGTGGAAAAGCAAAAAGGTATTGATGAAGACAGAGCCAAAGAGCCTGAGTGAATAGACCCTTGCAGCAGGTTGGAATGAAGCTCAATTTGGAGAACATAACAATAGGTTTCCAATAGTCCCTTTCACAGTTCCCTGCGCCATCATGAAAGGTAGCTGTGCCTTTGCATTGAAGTGAGACAAACGCTGAGTAAGCAATGATAGCTACCTTTTTTAACATTTTGGACAATTATTCACGTCTCTAACATAGCAAGATCACCTGTAGTCTCTTTTTGATGGAAAGGCACAGCTACATGTACCTTTCAAGATGGTGCAGGGAACTTTGAAGGGGACTATTCTTATGAGATCGAAGTTCTTCTTTTTTGGCCAAATTGAGCTGCATTCACGTCACATGCAAGGGGTCTAGTCTGACTTTGTCCTCAGCATCATTCAATATAATTATGTCATGTGTTGAAACACAAAACTATGCAGAGATAATCATCATTTTTTTACTAACAATTATCTTGTTGTTAGATTTAACCCTAAGATGTCTGTTTGAAACAATTGATAAACAAACTTCCTTGTGGAAAGAAAAAGCAGAGGAGGAGAAGTCCAATGAAGAGTTGGTTGAGAAGTAAGGAAACCTCTATTTTTCCCCTTTGATTTTAGCAGTTTGCAGAGTCATAAAAGTAGCTGTATCAATATAGTTTTTTGATTGGATGAATTGCACAAAATCGAGTCGTGTAGTTTGCAATAGACTACTGTCGATCATTCATGTTGACGCCATTTATACACGTTTGGATCAGTGAGTTGGCTTTTCTATCAAACTTTCTCAGTCAGATATCACGAAGGAAAGTTCCGAAAGAGATTGCAAAGAGTTTGAGTATGTCCAAGTAGAATGAGGCGTTTGATTGACGGCAGTCTATTGCAAACTACACGACACGATTTGTGTCTGGGGTGGCTACGTAATAATGCAAACGGCGGTAAGTTTCATACAAATAAAGTAATGATGATACTTTTATCTTACAGCAGTAAATGCAAAAGATTAAAGACCTCACAACACGTGAAGGGCATTGTAGTAGCATTATGCTGTCATCATCAGTGTTACTGGCCTCATTATGTTGGTAGACCATTTCTTGAAAAGTTGGGTTTTACACCATCAGACTTCCATGTTGTCTGTAATATGACAAGCTGGGCTACCTGTGGTATCAGGCCAACAAAGGGAGACAATACCTCAGGTGATTAAGAGGGTCAACATCAGGAAATTATTTTCAAAGATTGAGGATTTATTGCCAGAAAGAATTCAACGTTGCCTAGGATCTCAAACACGAAGGATCAAGAATGAATAGTTGAATGGATGGATAGAGGAATAAATCAATTAAGTTAGTGATCAATTAATTGTGTGTGCCTGTAGCAAGGTCAAAAATATCCAGGGGCCCTATTCCAAATACCTCAAAGTATTTATTTAGTGAAACACCTAACCTTTTCAGTGTTCAATAATCATAAAATATGACAAATTAAAATTATTTGCCCCCCACCCCCCTCCCCCTTGCTACTGGTTTGTTGTGTGAGTGAGTTAGGGAGGAAAGGAGTGAAAGAATGAATAACTGTTGAATCGATGAATAAAAAAACCTTCACTGGTTATATAGCATGATTCCCTGTTCAAAAATTTTATTCAAATTCATATTTTTACGTGTTTTAGATTTGATATTTTTGATGACATTGTTGCATGCACTAAAATTAGGATTTTTATCTTCAGTCGATAAAGGAAGTGAAGACTTTGAACACAATAACCCCAAGAATAATGAGACTGATGGGGATAAGGAAGCTACAAACACTGGCCATAGGTAACTACTGAATTAGGTTTCAATTTCTGAGGAAAGATCATAGATCAACTAACATGTACATTCATTACATTCCCCACAATATATTGCAGCTTTGGCGTAACCAGGGTTGTTAAGTCTGTAAAGTCAATACTCCCTTTTCGAGTTGCTGAGCTTTTTGATCTTCCAAATGTGGGAAATAAACTCAGAATGAATTAATAAACGGCATGAAAAAAAGCAGTTATAACTGATACAGTCAAGGACAGCGGAACAGTTTTTAAAGTGGGAGAGCTGCAATCCTCTCCTCCCCTTCCTATCCCACGCACCCAAAGATTAGACAAAATAAAAATGTAATTTTCACAAGCCCCCCAGCATGGATTGTGTAGGCTGCTAACGAGCTGTAGTTTCACCACTGTGGTTCCAAAGGTTTGGATCCCTGGTTTGATGGGGTCCTCTGTTTTTTTTTTACTCCAGAAAGATCAACGTGAGTTGAGCGTTGCGTGCATAGAACATTCACAGGGGAAAAAATGGATTCCCAAATTGGGAAATGTTGGGAATTTCCTTGAATTCCCAATTCGAACACCAACGTTGGGATTTATTGTTGGGAATTTCCTTCTAATACCYAATAGAAAAACAAAATTCCCAACAAACTAACATTGGGAATCAGTGCCATGTTCCCAATTTCGTTCTCTCTGGGAATTGGATGGGAATATGTTGGGAATTCAAGGAAATTCCCAACAAATTCCCAATTTGGGAATCCATATTTTTTCCTGTGATTGAATGTAGTGGTAGTGTGTGTGTGAGTGAAAAGCGTCCCCAATTAGTGTAAAAGCACTAGAAAAATGACTAGAAACTTAAATAAAGGGTTTTGAAGAATGAAATTAGGTTGCATTATTTTTTTAATTTTTCAGGGCTTTAGGTCTTAGTATAGCTGAAAGGGAAGACATAGGACGTCAGTGCAAGAGGCTGATTGACATAGGTAGAATATGGTACTTAAACACTAATGGAATGACAACAAACTTATCTTACTATGTGGACCAATCTACGTCATTAGAAAATGTAGTTTTATTGGCCACAGCAGAAAGATGACAGGGGCGGATCCAGGAATTTGATCAGGGAGGGGTGCTGTGCACAAAGTTAACCCAAGGAGGGGGTGCACCCCTTAGAATCAAAGGGAAAAAACATTTTGTATTGGTTATCTTTGAAGTAGGGGCACAAAGTTGAACCAAGGAGGGGTGTGCACCCCCTGCATCCCTACCCTGGATCTGCCACTGGATGATACTATAGGGATGGGGTAGGGATGGACAGTATTCCACAGAGGGAGTAGAATAAGGAATCTTACTATTGAGACCAATCTTTGCCATCAGAAAATGTTGTTCTATAGACCAAGGTTTCTAATTCTCAGGAGATTGACATTCTTTTGTTTTTTCCTCCAAATTGAGTTCCTTTGACGTCACATGCAAGGGGTCTATTGGCCACAGCAGAAAAATGATACTATGGGGGGAGGGTAGGGATGGACAATATTCCACAAGGGGGAGGGGGGAGGGAAAGAAAATGACAACATTGAGTTTTATTTTTAGTGTTTCTAAAAATTTACTTTTTATTTTTTGTCAATAAAAACTAAATCCTACTTCCACAAATTATTTTTATTTAAGCTATAATTTTTTACCCAATCAAAACATAAATACTGTTATGAATTCTATAGAGTTCTTTTCATGTATCAACAATCTCAACAACTCATGAAATTATGTATGGATTTATAGCTTTCATAATAACCTACTGTTGATTGAGAGAAATGAACATGCTCACAGATAAGAATAACAGCTGCTCAATCACCAACATGTGACCAGTCAGCGTGTCCAGTGACAAAGACTGGCCTGAGAGATATTTGGCCAGAGAAGATAATTTTGGCTGGACATTGTCTGTTGATTGGCCATTATTTTTATCCTGGTACAGTGTCTGAATAGACCTCCCCAGCTTGGGCATAATTTTTTCCCATTTCAGACTGGTCAAGTGTCATCCCTTGAGAGTAAGATTCTTTGTTTGAGTTGTATACATATTTAAAATGTCTTCTCCTGCACAACTATTAGACAAAGAAATGATGGCTAGATGACAAAAAAGTGGTAAATAAGGCAGAAAACTGGAGGAAATTGTTTTTTTAACCATGAAAAATTAAAAGTTTTACTAAGAAAACAAGGGTAAAATTTGATCATCATCATCACCATTTTTTCAAGCCCATCTTGTGAGCTCTGAGAAAAGTTCCAAAACTTGTTTTTTTTTCCGTAAATATGAAACATTTTTAGGATACATTGCTTGAGTCGTATCCATGTTTATGTGCTTTCTTGTGCTCAACCATTAAACAAAGAAATGATACTCTAGGAAATGACACATGGTCTGAAATGGGAAAACATGTACATTACATCCAAGCTAAAAATATGTATTAATTAATAAATATCCAAAATTGATAAATTATTACAGATAAATATAAAACTTCATTACCTAAGTAATCAGTATTACATTCATTAGTCTCCTAACTTTCAACAAAACCTTTGGAAATTAATAACTTGAGTGTGGTAGACTGAGAAGCAAAGCCAGCTGCTTTGGATGACTGGCACATTTGCCACTGTCTGTCAACAAGATGAGGGTCACACAACACTGGATGGTAAACGTGTATGAGTCCAGGATCTGCAGCTCTAAACACATCAATTTCATCATGTTTGATGAATTTCTCATAAAGTTCAACATCTTCRAGACCCCATCCTCTTATCGTGGTGTCAAAACCACCAACTGTGTTGAGATCATTCTGGTACATGCATACAATACCAAAAGCATAAGTTCTCCAAAATCCAGCATTTTTGCCCAAATTAAAATGGTTGATGGATTGTGGATTGGGGTACGTCGCATTCGGATCAAACTGACTGAAAACCATAGGGTAATATACTTGTTTTCCTAATTTCGTGTTACCACGGCAACGGTTAAGGAATTCACCATCGAACAACAAATCAACGTCACAGAAAAATAACAAAGATGTTTTGTCAAACTGATTTGCTCCCAGTGTCAGACCCAGTCCTCTTGAGAAGTCTCCTAATGCTTCTATCCAAAGGAGCTCAGCCTCTGGGTAGAGCTTCTGATATCTTTCTATAAGTGTTTTGTGTTTATTTGGAGCTTCTATAGATGGAAAATATACCACAAGAAGCTTGACATTCTCTTGCGACTTGAGACAAACCTTCTCAAAGTTTTCCATGAAGCGAACAAAAGTGTTGTAGCGTCCAGCCAGTGGAAGAGTGAAATGTACAGTGGGAAAAGTCTCGATAGCTGGTTCAGAGTGATAAACAAGATTTCCAAAAGGTTGTTGCAGATATGCATGATGCCGGACATGGACTGTCATGCGACGGCGGTTGTGCCCCAAGTGCCGATGATACTTCATCAACATATCCATCATATACTGAGCCCCGTACAGTGGATGCACCCTAATATATCCATGATTCAACTTTTTAAATTCCAAACTCCTGTGTAGGACATTACGGGCCTCTTCGTTAATAAGACCCATTGTCTGACCAAGAACGTGGTTGAGCCCTTCCTTCAGTGGGTCACGCATTCCTGTCTCCGGAGGCTGAAGTGTCACATCAGAGTAAAACTTTGTTGCTGTAAACATGTCCCAGGATGAAATGTGGTTATGGTGTAGCTGTGAATGAAAATCTTTTATATCTTGTAGACGGACTTTCTGGTCATCAGTTAAAGGACCACGACTTGCATTCAACAAAATGTCCATGTTTCTAAGGCCTCGTTGCAGTTTAACTGCCTTGTGTTGTAGATTTTGGACATCTAGGCTCATAAAATGTGAATGTAGACGATACATGTATGGGGGGTTCTTGATAGGGTGGAGAGTGATGGCTTTACGTACTGATTTGGTGTCAAGGTTGCCATGAAATGCTTGATTCCTACTCTGATTATGATAAAATATAGCTTGCATCTGAAAACAAAACACATTAGATAAATTTAATCTGCACTCAAAACTTTCCTTTTTAACAGGAGTTTATAAACTATTTCCTTCGTTTACTTATTGTAACCTGCTTCCTGTTTCCTCCCAGCATTGATTTTGTTAAATGCATTTTAAAGACCTCTATATTATTATATTACATTTGTGTGGTTCCAGGAAATATCCATCCCCCCCCCCCCCCATGGAGGAAATTTGTAAAAGGACCCCACTACCCCCAGGAACTTCCAATYTTCTTCCATACAAACTCTGTAATTTTGTTCTTTCTCTAACCCCCCTCCCCTCCAGAATATCTAGTTTCCTCCATGGGTGGGTATGAATATTTTATGGAACAGCATATTATTCAGAATGATGTCCATTTAACATATTAATTATTCTTGTATACTTGTTCTCAACATTCCAGGGGGTGGGATTTATCTGATAGGAAAATAGCCAGGGATGTCTGTGCCTTTTAAGGTATGAAATCTGTGATTTGCTACCTCTTAGGATGCCACAGAATTAAAAGGGCCATGAGAGAGTAAGCGGGTTTCTCTTAGGAAGTTTGTTGGGTAGTAAGATACCCTGCCCTTCTATATATGGGAGTACCCCCCTCCCCTCTCTGAGTCAAAATTATCTTGGATACTAGGCTAACATGAAAATATAATTAAAGAAATGTCATACTTTTCACAATGGAATAAAATTTGTGGCATTCTTTTTTCATATTCCCATGTTAGCATTGCATTAAAGATTATTTTGATAATGGTACATCATGAGAACCAAACAAACAACATGATTTAATCAAAGATGTCTGGGTGGTTGGCTTCCATCAATTAATAGAACTACTTTGACAATGCAGGGCCATCTTGAATTGCAAGGCATTATGAGTCGTCCAGGGGGAAAATATACAAAGCTTTGATATTTTTAAAGGCATCAATAGACAACTTGAACTAACAGGTCAAATGACCCTACCTCCCTTAAAATGACCAGTTGTGTGAAAACGAACTTTAGAAATGAAAAGAGCACCTCGATATGAGAGTGGATGCAATTAAACTGTGAAATAAAATCAAACTAAATACTAACTAATAGTATCTATTTAGTGACTAATAGTTGCTAGCACTCAACCAGAACATTCATCATACAAAGACAAATAAACAAGAGACCATTTGTGTCTTTTGTTTAATAAATGTTCTGGTTGAGTGATAGCAACTATTAGTCACTAAATAGATACTATTAGTTAGTATTTAGTTTGATTTTATTTCGCAGTTTAATTGCATCTGCTCTAGTAGGGTAGCAGAGTTTTAGCTCATAACAAACAAAAAAGGAGAAAAGGCATTAAATATAAAATCAAATATTTAAGGATTTGTATGGGAAAATGTGCTATGTAGATAGCAAAGGAGCCCCCTTTTACTCAAATTGCCATTCATGAGCTACCCTACCCTTACTACCAACAATCTACCCACCCCACTCCCACAAAACTGCTTTAATACGTCCTATTCTTCTTAAAATTCCTGAATTCCTAAAAGCTGCAAAAATAACACATCTAATAACTTGCTGTTTGCAGGAGATTATGAAAATTAACCAAGAACAATCAAAATACACCATAACTTGATATCAAAACTGCTAAAAATGTAAACAAATTCAAATTAATTCTCGGGGTAGAATTTCAATGTATCCAATAGAAGAATAAATTTTTTTCTTTCTTTTTCCTTGTAATATATAACTGAAAATTGGCCGAAATTTAATTAATTGATCGGGAGATGATAATATTTATAAACATTTACCTCAAAAGACCAGGTACAAGAGACTCCAACAAATTTCTTGATGCACCGTCCAACTTCAACATCTTCGTGGTTTGTGACTAAGTTTTTCAGGCAATATTCGACGTGAGGGACTACTTTCTTTAGGACACTACGGCTCATTATAACTCCCGGACCTCCCATACAAAAATTATCTCCATAACCAAGGCCTAATAGGCCTTTCTCGCCCTTAGTTCCTGTGCCAGCCTGCCCTAAATAAATGTCTTCAGAACTGTTTAGAGAGAGTAGGAAATTTGCTAGTTTATCGCTTCGAACATAAACATCATCATCTGACCTCATGAACCATTCATAATGATCAATATAATGATCGTGCATGTATTTTAACATCATCATTGACTTCCTCTGTGGCGGATAAGAATCATCTACGCCTTGGAGACTGACGACCGGCAAACTTGGATTCTCTTTTGAGCCGACGCTGGAAAAAAATTCAAGTCTCCCAGGGACTTTCTTTCCCCACGTTTCGTAGACGGCCTTGGCTCGCGTGTTGAGAAATTTCTCTGCAGTCATTACTCCGATGAAGATGAGTTTACGGTTTCCAAGCTCTTTAGAAATACTTCGAGGTCGAAGATCACTTTTAAAATTGATATGGCAACGTCTTGTTGGCATGGGTAGAAGATGATGTCGTAGCATTAGGGCAACACTGAACCCCACTATAAGCCCTCCGAGCAACGTGAAGACCGCTCGAACACTCATGTTTTTTGATTTCATTTTAGCCATCGATCTCGAGCTATATTAATAGTCTCCGAATAATGTATTTTCGATCTTAAATCGCCTTGGTAATGAACTGTGGCTTTAAAAAAAAAAGTTGAAGTCTTCGCAGCTTGGTTTAATTAATATCGCCATAATGTATATCGTCACGTGGACCACGCGTGCTAAACATTTTTAAACCCTCAGTTCGTCGCCTAGCAAGACTCGACGAAGAGAAAAATATCTCACATTCAATATTGACCAAGATTTTACGACCTGAACGCTATTTTCACGTCTCCAATAAATAAACCTTGGCACCAGAATTTGTTTTGTAAATCAAAGCTTCGTCGAAACAACCTTGCATAGAGCTTTAACAGTGACTGTGCTTAAGTTATTAATAAATTATTTCTATCAGCTGATTCGAGCTGATTGGACGTTATTTTTGAGAACCTGTTGCCCTTTTAGTATCCTGCAAATCTTCTCTAAGGAATAAAGAAAATAGGACGAAAATCTTTTGAAACAGGGGTGAAGCCACCAGTCCGGGTCCATTTTTTTACGATCATAATTATTTTGTTAAAATAGTAAAAATTATTTCCTTACACACTAGGATCCACAAGCTAAGAAGAAAAAATTTGAACCATTTTTGTTTTGAAAACCGGACCACTGTTCAAATTTCTGCTTTGGGCCTGTGAAATATATCGTGGACTCGTGGATTAACAAATGTTTAGAAGAGTAGACAAAAAATGGAAAGGAAATGTTCAGCAAAATGAAGGGAAAAAAATTTTTTTTTCGAAGATAAAGTTACTCCATTCATTTTACAGAACGTTTTTGAGAAGAGTCAAAATTTTGATCTATTAATAATTTTTAAATTTTAGCTAAATACTTTTTATGACATTTTTGAGTGGAAAAAGTTTTTAAAAAGCCATTTAGATGTAATTTGGTTGTGACATCGAAATGGCTTCCAGATGCAATAAGAAATGTACCTTAATTAAGTAAAATTCAAAATCGTGATATATTATGTTTAAATTTTAGTTAATTACTTCTTAAGAATTTTTTTAGGGAACAAAAATTTAATAATTTTAATAATGGCTTTTTTAAAAAAGCCATTTAAATGTAATTGAAGTCACATTGAAATGGCTTCCATATAAAAAAAGCGGTAAAATTTTTAAGGGACTCAGCGGGCGCAATAAAAATAAATGTGCCAAAATTTTAAACTCTTTTGAAAGATCTTAAAATGTCCGCTTTTTAAAAGGTGGCTATCTTATTGGAGTCTAATTTTACAAAGCTTTGACGTAAAGGACTTTGAACTTACTTATAAACAACTTCCGGTGATCACGAGCGCTGACATCCGCGTGACGAACTCACAGCCTGGTAACTAAGATCAGAGATCATTGACTTTCGTTCTTCTGTTAATCATTTTGCCGAAAAARACCTTTAAAATTCATGATTTCAACATTGTGACGACCCTTTTTCGGCTTCAATGTCAAAAGCAGCTTATAATGGAGCAAGCTATGTAAAAACAAATGGATTTTCTAATAATGAGGTAAAATTTTTAGGGGAATTTCTAAAGCTATTGATTTCAAACACTTGTAATTTCACAATTCAAATTTGATATTTTACTTCTAGTTTTCAACATGAAGCTTATTTTGATCGCGATATTTGTAATCTTTAAGTCTAAACATTTATAAACTCATTTCGTTTTTAGGAAATACTAAAACAAGATGTACAAAAGCAGAAAATTCAAACATCGCCTTTACATATCAAATTAGGTGAGTAAGATGATTTACGACCTAATTTGAAAAAATTCACAATATAAAAACGTGTGTGTCAAATATGTCCAGATTTTTTTGCTATTTTATCAATTCTACGTGTTTTAGATATCGTAGCCGAAACCGTTTAAGTAATTTCAGGTGTGATAGCTAGTTTTGTACAAATAGTTTAGGCTATAGACTCACAGAATAAATGCATGCTGTCAGTATTTTATTAATATGTAGTACGTACGTATACTCTACTAATTGGCTAGCACTTTAATATAAGGTATTGAAAGACAGACGTAAATACATTAATATGATTCTTGACAGCATTAAGTTATTAAGATCTTTATCCACGAACTGCTCGTTCTAAAATAGTAGTATTTCCAGGACTCGGTATTCTTTCGAAAAAGTAAACGAATAATCCCAACATTCATTTACATATTTTTGTATTTCATTGATGGGTTGCAAGCATTCCCAAGAGAGTCAAAAGAAAAAGACATGACAGCCATTGTGGTGCCGTTAACAATGGATGCTAATGAAAAATCTTTTGTTAAATGGCACCAACATGGCCGCGATGATGTAACGTGCAATCGAAGAATTGGCCATATGGAATGAAAAGTTGATATAAATTGAATGAAACACCTAAGCTTTTATGTGATATAGATATATGTAATTAAAATATGATTAGTTGTGGATTAAATCTTTAGTCTTATTAAAATGATAATAATTTTGTGTAGAACCTTCTAGGATCAGCTGATCAATGTCAGTACATCTTGTCCAGACTTAATTAATATTTTTATTAGGTTTGCACTCTACTGTAAATTTGATAAAAAGTTTTATTACACATTTAGGGTCGATATCAGTGTGACAAAGCCGTGAATAAAAACCATATCGGTGAAGTGATACGATATCACTTCACAGTAAACTGGAAACTGTAAATTAATTTGTCATTTTATCGATCGTAAATGTGTAATAAATGAATTGTTACATGTTAAGAGCCTGATATCTTTTTTATTTACTCGTTTTCTATATTATGATATCACACTCTCTCACAGACTTGCTTGTTCGCGATATGATATGGAAACTCGCGAATAAAATAAAAACAATAATTCCTTAACATGTGATAATCTTTATTGAATTGATGAGTAAAAAATATGCCAATATAAATCTGTCTACTTTGAGCAGTTTCTGGGTGATATTTTGAGGTTAAAACAAAAGGGGCTTAATCATCAGGACATTTGTTTTGTTCTCCCAATTGAAACAGTTCTATAAAGATTTTAACTTTGAAACTGAGGATGGCATATTAACTAGCTCAATAGCTAGTACACTCAATCATCTCTCACCTGGGGTCTTGGGCTCAATTCCTGTACTCTGTGCATGTGTGACATGTAATGAGGAGAATTTGTTGGATCTCTTCCTTGCATGATTCAGGAGTTTTCATCCCTCCTATACTGACTAGCAAGCAGAATTCAAAATCTGTGAATTTTTAGCTATACCATGTGGCTTAGATCAGCCCAGAGGTTGTTTCAGGATTCAATCTAGATCTGTGAGTTGGGGCTGGCTTCAATTTTGTACCCTTCACATGCTACAGTGAGGTTCCTTTGAATCTCAAAGTTATCCAAAAAACCATCCTTTGTTCACGAGGGTAGCACTTAATTCTGTGATCGAATTGGAATTTAGGAGTTGATTTTTGCGGAGGGAGGAAAACCGGAGAACCCGGAAAACCCTCGAAGCACAGGAGGGAACCAACAAACAACTCTACTCACATACAACACCAAGCACGGTGGGACTCAAACTCAGGTACATTGGTGAGAGGCGAGCGCTCACACCACTACGCCACCCATGCTTCCCATCATATTGTTGATATTGTACATTCTTTTACTTTACTGTTGGTCTTTTTGAATATTCTTGTGAAATGAGGCTAACCCTGAGTAAAGGAGTCTGCATGTAATTCAGGAACACAGCAGTATTGTACAAATTTGAAAAAGGGCTAATACTCTTTTATTGCTTTAATATAAAAATAGAATGTTTCTCATGTTGCTTTTTCATTTTTTTAAAGAAGAGCAACTTCAAAAGGCAAGAAAGAGTAATGGTAAAAATGGTGTTATAACGTCACAGCCCAATGGACATGGGTAAGATGCTTGTGGTTTGAGTTATAATGTGTGGTTAATGAATGTTGGTCAGATTTTTGATGTTATTTATGCATGGAATATTTTATTTATCATAATTGATCAGCACTGAGTCTTTGGCCAAATGCTATTACAATGCAATCAAAAATGAATATATTCTCATTCTCAATCTTTTATTGCACCCATGTATCAATACATCAATACATCCATCCATCTGTCTGTTCATCTATTCATGTATCAATACATCAATACATCCATCCATCTGTCTGTCCATCTATTCATCCTTCTATCCATGTATCCATTAATCTATCCATCTGTCCATCCTTCCAGGATTGCAAGATATAAGAATAATAAGACAAGACGGCACAGATCAGACCATAGACCTCTTTTTTCTATGGATTCAGACAGGTATGATGATGATGATGATACTGCTACATAGTGACGATGATGATGCAGCTAATGATGATGATGAAGATGATGATGATGCAGCTGATGATGATGTTGGTAATGATGATGATACAGCTTATGATGATGATGATGATGATGATTGTAATGATGATACATGGTGATGATAATGATGCAGCAGATGTTGGTGATGATGATGCCACATGGTGATGATAATGATGATGGTTATGATAATGACAATGTTGGTGAGAATGTCAATGATGATGATGTTAGCAATACCAATGATGATGATTATGATCATGATGATGCTGATGCTATGGTGATGGTGGGGATGGAAATAATCATGATCATGATGATGCATGTAACATTATTGACTAAAACATTTTAAATGTCTTTTTGATTGTAGTGATGAAGAATTAACAATAACAAAGTATAACTCCAAGTCCCCTAATGTATCAATTACTCAAAACTCAAAGGTAATGATAAGGTGATTCTCAAGATTAACAAGCTCACATTCTCATTATGTCACCAACGCCAGCAGTCTTTCTAAAGACTACTCTCACATGGTCAAACTCAGAACTCAATAATCATACGATTATAAACTGTATAGTTAATTAAATGTTCCAAAAGCCTCAGGCCCTTGTGCTTTGCATGTTCATTTTAAAGCTTTGTTTACTTTGGGTTTTGAATACATTGTCTATATTTACAGGAGCTTGCAGAATGTGAAGAAAGATTGCTTAAAGATGGTTACAGGTATTTATACTGGATCTTCATATATTTGTTGGTAATGGTGTTGATCGATGCTAGTCTGCTGTATGTTGGTGATAATAGTCATGCTATAAATGGTGATGACTGTTGATGGTTATGATAATGATACTGTAATGTTGATGGTTATTATTGATGATGCTGTTAATGTAGATGATGGTAATGCTATTGATGCTGATGGTGATGCTGTTGTTGATGATGATGATAATGTTGTATGTTGATGGTGATGATCAATGATGCTGTTAATGTAGATGATGGTAATGCTATCGATGCTGATGGTGATGCTATTGATGCTGTTGTTGATGATGATGATGATGTTGTATGTTGATGGTGATGATCGATGATACTAGTATGGTAATGATAATACTGTTGATGAAGATGGTGATGATGATGTTGTTGATGGTGATGGTGATGATGCTGTTGGTGATGATCATGGTGTTAACATTGATTGTGATGGTGATGGTGATCAATGCTAGCACTGTAGATGGTAATTGATATGGTGACGATGGTGGTATAGTGATGATGTTGGTGATGCAGTTGATGGTGGTTGTGATATATTGATACATACTAATTCTTTGGTTTTAATCCTTAGATTAGATGAAATGTCAGATGAAGAAGACTTAGATCTAATACCACCTCGTCACCTCGATAATCGATGTTGTAGCACAGTGTCTCATAGCTGTACTATATCGTAGCTGATCTTTATTCATATTATTTAGAGCATTTTTTATATTTCTGCAAAAACCACCAAAACCTTGGTGTTTTAACTTCCTCTTAATTTGGTAAGAGATGTTTTTGTGACTTATTGGACAACTTTGATCAGGACATCTTTATTTTTGACTACTCGGTCAATCAAAACTTTGCTAACTCAGACGGTTGCAATTTTTATGCAGCTATCTAGTTAAAACACACAAAAAACTGTGTTAGCTGCATCTGTAGTATCATAGAAATGTTTACCACTCTTTTCACTGCTACATGCTGATTGAAACAGCAGTTGCAACAGGGAAATTGGGCAATACAGCTGTCCCCAATCAGAGAATATTAAAAAATGTAATGTACCGACCAATTTATTTGATTGACGGAAGTGCATTGCCCAATTTCCTTGTTGCAACTGTCGTTTTGATCAGCGCATACAGTGAATAGAGTGGTAAGCACTTTGAATCAAAGGCCATAATTTTTATGTCCGATGTGCGGCAGATGAAAGTCAAAGCATCAAGTGTGATGCTTGGAGTACGCTTTTTGTCTCATGATCAGTTGCAAAAACGTAAAAATTGCTATAATTATTTAAATAGTATTTTTATAAAATATACAGTAAACGAATGAACAAAATAGAATTGAATTCAATCAAGATTCAAATTTGGCATGTACATTATGTATTGGAAACAAATATGCATATATATACATACATTCATACACATAGCTAGGCAGAAAAAATTTCCAATAATTTTCTCATCTTAGAGTACAAACACTAAAAGTGTGCAACACTTTGCACTATTTAGCAGTGGCGGATCCAGGATTTTTCAAAGGGGGGTTCCGTTTCTTAAACTGTGTATAATTCTCTTTTGTTTAGTCGATGTTTGACAAAAAAATTGGCTCTTATCACCTAATTTACTATCTAGTAATGGAACTTAAAGGTAAATTAAACATTATAACAGCAAATATCTATCATTTCGTGTTCAACATTATCTTTGTGGATACTTTTAAGCAAAATTTATATAAGACATATTTCTATTACCTAAAAGATCAAACCTTCAAGGGGGGTTCCGTGGACCCCTTTGACCCCCCCTGGATCCGCCACTGGTTAGTAGTAAATAGTGCTGATTAAACAATAGAAAGCAATAGGATTAGCATAATTTAGCAGTATTTAGTGGTATTTATGTTACACACTTATAGTGTTTGTACTCTAGTAAGAAAATATCTAGATATGGTCATATTATAATAATGATTTATCCCCAATTTCTTTTAGATGATTGTGCAATAAAATTGTTGTTTTAGAACATCACCAAGTCTTGCATGACTGCGTACAGGAATGGTAGAATACCTCCTGCATTCTGATTGGCTGTATTTTTGATGGTGTAGGATACTAGACATGTTTGATTGACAGCTGCTTTTCATTGTTTCCTTTAATTGCGCTATTTATTAGATTTGACTTTACAGCTTTTTWAAAAAAATTATAAAGTCATTTGATGTCTGCAGGGTGTTTTACAATGTATGTATTATCATTTACAACTGAATTTTGAATCAAGACTTGAATAAAAGATGCTATAACTTTATTAGACTTAGTTTAATTTGTATTCCATAACTTGCATTATATTGGACCAAACTGCATCCCTTCAGTGGTAGCCTCGTGGGGTACTCTTGCCTGTTTAGGGTAGGGATGTGCCGCTGAGCCCACTGAACCCTGACCCTGTTCCAGAGTAAAATAGCTGAAATTCATACCCTGTTCCAGAGCAAGATTGCTGAAAACCATACCCTGTTCCGGTATTGCGAACATAGATACCCTGTTCCAGAAAGGAGAGAGTGTTATTTCATATACCCCGTCCCAGAGTGAGCGTGATTTATATAACCTGTTCCAAAGTAAAATTGCTGAAAACCATACCCTGTTTTGTGGCACATACCGGCATAGCAAATATAGGGGAGTACCCCCACCCCCCCGAGGTGGTAGCCTTCAATGCTAACATTCTTTCACATCCTAAGGACATTTGTATTAAGGAACATTCATTCATTAAAAGAGAAAAAAGAAACATGGCTAATTTTGCACCTCTTCCCTCTAAATAATGACGTCCTTAATGTAAAACTGAGAAATATGTCCAGGCAGATTTTCGTGATATGATTACTGAGGGGGGTAGGGTAAGTAAGCATTGTAACTGATAACTTGGAAAACCGAATTACTTCGTGATATACTCTTAAGTGGGGATAGTGTGAGTAAGTATTGTTACTGATATCGGGAAATATTAAAAAACTGACCTACCTTAGGGGGTAGGGTAAGTGAGTTTTGTTACTGACAGCTGGGCTCCCTGTGGTAAGGAATGCCGCTGTCCAATAATCCATGCAGGCTCTAGTTTTTACTTCCTTCCAAAAAAAATCCCAAGAGGTTGAAGAAAAACAGTCGTCAAACTCCTGCGATTTGACCCTAAAAAAAACAAAACCACACATTGACATGTAATATTCCATACATCCTTACATCATTCCTAATGTTCGGAAAGAAGAAAATCGTAGAAACTGGCCAAGAATGGACGAAAACTGGAAGTTTTATGAACAAACCCGACAGAGGTTGGCTTCATTCCGAAGAAAGTCTTCGAGAAGGCGGCGTTTGTTATGCAGTTCGGGTAAGACAAAAAATAAAAATCAGAACTGCTTTTCCATCCGATTGTATCGTTTTGATAAAACCATGGTAGTTTAGTGAATGGTTGTTAATTTAGAGCGGTTTTTTGGGTCTTGATTGCAGTATGTTGGATGCGTTCAAGTGGAGAAGTCGATGCGAACTCTTCAGTATGATATGAGACAGCAAGTCACAAGGTCAGAAAAAACTCCAACCATTGATATTGTTAATCTGCTTCTTTTACTTTACACAAACCTTTAATTCGTTAAACATCTGCTCTTCTCGATATCGCGGTCGTCACGCTAATCATTTTTAGCATATATGTATTATTGTAAAATAGGATAATTTTTAACTTCCAAATCTCAATTATTCACTCAAAATTTTTACTTAAATTGAATTATCTTAAATCTTAATAAAGGAGTCCTTTACTCTTAATCTTTTCTTTGTTTACGCTATTCTATTGTTTCAGAATAATGAAAACGAAAGACGTTTTACTTAGCTATTTTTTTTTCGAAACTACATTTCATTGTAACTTAATTAATAACATTGCTTGATAATTGTATATTCGTATGCGTTTAAATGGATTATGAGTGTATTCCAGTTTTTAAATATGTATTATTATTTTCTAGAAAGTTTACAGGTCGTTGATCAGCATTATTATCATATATGTTGCAATAGTTATAATTAACCTTTTATTCATTAAATAATTATGCAAGAATTATGCTATATTATATATGTTCAATTACATCATTAGGCATTCAGTTATTTTCATAATTATTATTACTGTAAAAATACCTTTAATTTTTTTCAATACCATGAAACAATAATTGTTTCATGGTATTGAAAAAAATTAAAGGCTAACTCACAGATCAAACCCTGAAACAACCTCTGGGCTGATCAAAGTCAGGGCACAGTTAACTCACAAATCAAACCCCGAAACAAGTACCTCTGGGCTGATCTAAGTCAGGGCATGGCTAACGCACAGATCGAACCCTGAAACAACCTCTGGGCTGATCAAAGTCAGGGCACAGCTAACTCACAAATCAAACCCCGAAACAAGTACCTCTGGGCTGATCTAAGTCAGGGCATGGCTAACGCACAGATCGAACCCTGAAACAACCTCTGGGCTGATCTAAGTMARGGCAAAGCTAATTCACAGATGGAACTCTAAGACAACCTCTGGGCTGATCTAAGTCAGGGCACAGCTAATTCACAGATGGAACTCTAAGACAACCTCTGGGCTGATCTAAGTCAAGGCATGGCTAACTCACAAATCAAACTCTAAGACAACCTCTGGGCTGATCTAAGTCAGGGCACAGCTAACTCACAGATTATACCCTCTGGAACATTATCTTTTGATTCAGATACCATTAAGAGGTCGGCAATGCATAACGATACGGCACAGCCAATTCATAAATCACTTCATCAAGACAAATTTAATCTTTGGTCCTAAATTTCATTAAAGGTTGTTTGTTTTTTTTTACAGAGAAGCCATTCTAAAGTGTTGTGAAGCGGCAGGATACCATATTAACAAGCGAAAAAAGGTTACTATGCCCTCTTAATGCACTATAATTATCAAGCATCAACCACTGGCCTTTAGCTCATGATCCAGCTCAGGAGCAGGCGTAGCTTGGTTGGTTAGCTCGCGACCTTCAGAGCTTGAGGTCCATGGTTCGATCCTTAGGATCTCCACGTCTGTTTCGACTTCTCTCTAATCCGTGTAGCTTCAGCTTTAAATACTGTTAAACAGAGCACTGATGGAGAGAGGGGGTAAAGTGCGCACTGTCGGCTTCCATTGATAGCAGTTGAATTTCAACTGAAGGAACTACCGACGTTAAATATAGGTACTTTACTTTTTTACTTTTTTATCCCTTGATAAGAGTGCAAGGTTGTGTGGTCTAATGCCTTCAAATTTTATCTATACCCTGACATAACCTCTTGACTGATTAAAGTTGGAGCACTGAGCAAACTCACAGTTTAAATTAGAATGTAGCATGTTAAGGTTTTGTGGAGGGAGGAAAACCAGAGAACCTAGAGAAAAACCCTAAAAATGAAAGGAGAGACCTAACATGTGATGCCAACCGAGTCTGGGAATCAAACCATAGACCCAGGGGCGGATTCAGGATTTTTTCAAAGGGAGGGTTGTAGCATTGATTGAGGTACTTGTTTGGCCGGAAAGTATCACGGGGTTCCCAAACGGAAGTAGGCCCCAGAGGTGACGGGCAAGTGAACTACTGGTACATCACCCTTGATTTTCCAAGATCTGAAAGAATTGGAGAGAGTGCATGACTAGGAGAAAAGTCTACATAGATTAACTGTAGGTATAATATATTATTGTTATTTTATACCCTGGAACTAATGTCTTTGGTATTCGTTCTCAGGCCAATAAGAATGTTGTGAGGATCCTCGGAGGTAATATATATGTAAAGCCATTATTTTTATATTTTTATTGTTATTATGGTATCTTTATTTTTTCTTTGTTTTCTTATGTTACAACAATGTGGGCTCCTCCGCCTAGGCTTTGATGTTTCTTGATTTTTGAATATTGCTTTACCATGAATTAATATTATTATTATATTTTATTATTATCTATCATCTTTCCGGTGGAAATCAAACCAGAAAATTATTATTAATTTTCCTGTGGTTTTATTCATTATTAGATATACCAAACATAAATTATTCGGGTGCCAACACCAACATGACCATAACAGCCACTGGTATAAAACTGACGGCAATAGATACCGGACATAAAATAGGATATCATGACATGCAGGGCATATCATTCGCAAGCGGAGGAGAAAAGGTTGGTAAAAATATATCAACTAAATATACTTTCAGGGTGCACACAGGTCTTTGAAATCTTGACCTTGAATTTGACATTTCCTTGAAAAACAACTTGAATTTGAATTTTTTTGGTTAGTTGTCCTTGAAAAGGCCTAAATGTTTATGAAAATGTCCTTAGATTTGCAATAATTATCCTTGAAAAATAAAACAAAAGTAGAATAAAGTCCTTGAGAAGTCCTTTAAGAAAAAGAAACCATTAAATGTTTTAGTCAAATCCAAATAGTCGGTCAAATATATAGATGCAAACTTATGAAAACTTTTGAATCAAAGTTAAATTTAATGTTTTGGTTTTCAAAGCTGCTACAAGTAAGATATAACTTATACCCTAGTAGTAGCTCATCCAATCAGAACACAGCATTGATGATAGATCACTATTTGACCATAGTTAATAGAGGGGAATGGTTATGAAACCTATTGTTATAGGTCTTTGTTCGCTTTTGATGTTGAACCGGTCTTGACCGTGCACAATGTTTGATTTATGCTCATCCGAAATTGTAAAATAAGTAAACATAAACTTTGTCTATGGGATTGTTGTAAGGAATATTCAAATATCTCTCATAAATCTTTAAGTATTTTGAACTACTGTAGCTGCCAAAAGAAAGATTTTTGTCTGTTCACTCAGCCATTGCCAACGATGGTAAAACAAAGGATTGTGCAGGGTCACGCTTGAAAAAAGTGAACAAAAACATATAACAATAGGTTTTATAACCATTCCCCTCTATTAGCTATGATTTGACTAAAAACAGTTAGCTCTTCAGCCTTGACTGTGGCACGGAAGTCCTTTTTTGGTAGTTAACTTTATCCTTCAATGATTCCAGGATTGTATAGACATGGTTGGTTACGTTGCTAAAGATGAGGTTAATGGAAGAGGTTAGTAAAAGAAAGCAAAAAATCAGTAACTGATCAAATTGTTGTTCACCGAGCTTGAAATGTATTATGTAGAGGTTTTGCACCATCACGTGCCCATGCCCTTAATACAGTTTGGGCTGCTGCCTGTGGTTAGGTGGCAGAACAATAAAATCCTCTTGGGATTTGGATTTTTTTCTTATGTAAAACAATTGTATTGTTCCTGCTATCTAACATTGTTGCCATAACGCGATGGTGCGAAACCTCTATTGATTTTATATGCAAATAATCAGCACAAGAGGAAAGAATATTATCACCAGAAAAAAGTGAAGACAAAGTTTTGATAGAATTCTATATCATTGTGACTGATTCATTTCACCCATAGTTAATTTTGAGCATATTGCAATGTGCGACATGCAACATGCTACTCTGTTCGAGAGAGCATTGCTTTTTATGATTTGTTTTCTATTTCCAGCCTGCTTTGTCGTTGACTGTGGTGGTGGTCTTGCATATGACGTCATCAGTACTATTGGACAAGCATTTGAAATACGCTACAAGATGTTCCTGGAAAATCCGCCTCAAGCCATGCAAGTCCCTGAAAAGTAAGCACTAATGCCACATCATGGGTACATCATCATCATCATTATCAACATTAATCATTACTATCATATTTATCATTCATTGTCATGACCATCTTTATCATTACAGTTATTATCATGAGCATCATTGTCAATCATTGCTATTGGATTCATTTTTTCACCATCATTATGTTTATTATCAACATCATAATCATCAGTCAATGATACCATCTTTACCACCAATCATCATGAACACCACCACCACGATCATCATCATCATCAATCAATCTATCATCATCATCACCATCATCATCAATCATTATCATCATCATCACCACCATCATCAATCATTATCATCATCATCATCAATCTATCTATCAACATGATCACCATCATCTGTTATGGACACCACCATCAATATCATTATCATCATTATCATCATCAATCATTATCATCATCATCAATCTATCTATCTATCAACATGATCACCATCATCTGTTATGGACACCATCATCATCACCATTGTCATCATAATCATCATCAATCATTATCATCATCATTATCATATCATCATCATCATTATCATAATCATTATCATCATATTCAATCTATATAGAAGTTTTTAGTGCTGGCCAGATAAAGAACTAGCTAGTATTTTCAGTTTTTCTTTTCTATATACAACAGATTTTTTTCACAAAGATAGCTTCCTACCACTGAGGTCATTATAAGCTGACATATTTGCTGTCTTTGATTTCAGGTTTTCAGAAACATCAATTTTTGAAGAGATTGGTGAAGCTCAGTATAATGAGATCCAAGATTGGGAGTATGCCGATCCAAGAAATGAAGGTCCACCGGCAAACAGGAAGGTAAAAAGATATCCCAATAATGGGGCAAAATGTTTTCTCATTTATGTATTGAAAATATGATGCCCCAGGGTGGAGGGAGAAGGGGGAGAATCTATATATATAAACCAGGGATGCTTATTGGAAATGTTGAAAATGACTCCTTAAAGCAACCTCGTTCCCAGGGCCCTCTCACGCAGAGGAGAGAAGACCCTGAGAGTGACAGGAGTCAGATTATGTGAAAAAATAGTATAATCTATGGTGTCTTTAAGAGGTACCAGCATACTCTCTGGTGGTCCTTTTAGATTTGTGACACTCAAATAGGTTCCAAATTGTAGATCTGGAACCTTGAAAGGTACTGTAGGATGAACATCCCCACCCCCCTTCCCCTGGTAAAATGCTTTGTCTTCTCATGCACACATCCGTTACACAAAGAAACAATGCTCTAGGAAAAGACACATGGTCTGAAATGGAAAGCTTGTGCGTAATGTTTTTCCATTTCAGACCACGTGATATATAATTATATATAAAAGAGGTCTATCTTCATATCTTCATACACCTATCTTCATACCTACTCCAATAATAACAGAATCCTCTGTGAGAAATAATCCACTTTTAACTATTATATACTCATCCATCCTTGTTAGGTTTCTTCAGATTACAAGGTTCCTAAACCACAAAATGTTGCTATTTATGCATCTTTACGAGGTGCTGGTGGACAAGAAGGACAAAGGAATGCCAGGTCTATCAGTGACTATGATGTACCTAGAACAAGCAGCTGTAAGTAGATGGCAGAACTATTGAAGATACATTTTATTGAACGCTGAGAACCACCTCTGGGCTGATCTAAGTCAGGGCATGGCTAACTCACAGATCAAACCCTGAAACAACCTCTGGGCTGATCAAAGTCAGGGCATGGCTAACTCACAGATCGAACCCTGAAAAAACATCTGGGCTGATCTAAGTCAGGGCACAGCTAACCCACAGATTGAATGCTGAAACAGCCTCTGGGCTGATCTAAGTCAGGGTACAGCTAGCTCTCAGATTGAACCCTCAAAAATCATCTTTGGTTGATCCAAGTTAGGGAAATAAGAGAAATAATGATGAATCAAAAGAGAGACCCAACTGAAACTTTACTCACATTCCGAGTCCATTAATCAAACCTAAGACCACAGAGGTGAGGGACAAGTGCACTTAACTCCTTCATTACCCAGTAATTTTACCATGTCAAATATTTCAGCTGCTTCTGACTATGACAATCGTGGAAGCTTGGAGTTTGGTGCTGGGGCTTCTTACGGGCACCCCAGGGATGCTGCCCAAGGTTTAGCCTTCTACGAAAACCCTCTGGCTTCAAAGAAAGACTTTCAAGCACCTCAAAGAGTAGACAGCTTGACTAGGAATATCATGGATGAGCCTGTTCCCYGTGGGGATTACTCTTTCCCTAGAAATGGTGCTGGTAAGCTATCCATTTTTTTCGTTCATTTTTTTATTTCTTTTATGCTTCCTATAACTTTTTCTCATTTCTTTCTTTTTTCCTTCCTTCCTTCCTCCCTTCCTCCCTTCCTCCCTTCCTCCCTCCCTTCCTTCCTTCTATCCTCCCCCTCTCCTTTCCATTTCTCTTATTCTTTAACCTCATTCCAAGGTTTCAATACACCATTAATCTCATAATATCCCAACAGGTTTTCAGCCAGCACCACCACCACCGCCTATGGCCACTCACCCTGAATTCTCTTCAAGCAGCCAACCCTCCACACCACCGCCCAAACCAGTCCCTTATGCTTTATCCAAAGCTGATAAATGTAAGTGAAGGGTGTGAATAAGGATGAGCAGAGATGGACCTAGGGGTGGTTAGTGGGGCTCGTCTGAAGCCCCTCAACCGAAAATGAACCCACTAAATTAGAAAGACGACCCATGCTCATTATATTGAAGCCCCTAAAAGACAATAATGAAACCCCGATATAGCATTATGTAGTATGTAGTATGTGTTGGCGTGAACGAAGGTAGGCAAACCAACCTGTAGCATTTCTTTTTGTTGACCAAATTTGTTTTCCGAACCTCTTTACCCAAGGCCCCTGCTGAGGTTTTTTAAAGCTAGACAGTAGATTGTATGACGCAAGTGACGGAGTGGACTTTAAAATAGGGATATGCTAATCTGTCGATCCGTTAGAATTAATAGCCGAATCCGTCAATTCGTTAAAATCATACTCTAAATCATTAATCTGGAATAAATTATTTGTAAAATCCGTCGTGGATCCGTAAACCTATCCCCCCTCGTGGAGGTTTTCCTCTGTGGCATCTGATTATTGTTTTTCCGTCCATTGGTATTAGCCATTTCGAAGGTTAAGAAAAAAAACCGGGTCGAGTTGGCATTGCAGTGCCTTGTGCGATCGATTAATATTTCTAAGATGGCGTCCCCTAAATCAGCCCCAAAATGCACTGCAATGCCAACTCGACCCAGACTTTAGTCTCCCCCACAGCCGCTTTCAGTGTCGTCACGCAACGCTTTCTCTCAGGGGAGAAAGCGTTGCGTGACGACAGTGAAAGCGGCTGTGGGGAGATTACCCAGACTTTGGTTTGTCATTGACATTTTCACGTGAAAAAGTAAAAATCATGTTTCTGATTGTTTGCTCCACCAACATTCCAAAGGTTATTAATTCCTTGGTAACACTGTAAAATCCTATTATGTTTTTGTTTCCTGCAGCACCTAGTGAAATACTTGCAGAGAAAGAGTGGTTTCATGGTAAAATATCCCGAGGAGAAGCAGACCTCCTCTTGGAGGATGAAGGAGACTTTCTTGTCAGAGAAAGCAAAAGCCAGCCAGGACAATACGTGCTGTCAGGAGTCAATAATGGCTCCAAGCGACACCTGTTGCTAGTCGACCCAGAAGGAAAAGTTAGTAGCATAAATAGAGCAAATATCGTTTTACGTTAAATTATTAGTACCAGCTGAGCGGTGAATTAGCGGTGAATTAGTCAATCACAGCGCGTTTAGATGTTTTGCCGCCAGCCCTTATTCCCAGGCCACTGTAACCCAACTTTTGCGTATTTTTATGCTTTCTTTTGACTAAAGTATGATATAAATGCCTACAGCAAGCAGAAATATGGAAAGGAAGAATAAAAACAATTTCACTTTACCGCTAGGTTTGCTTCGTTATTTCAGCTCCAAAAATGTCCGATCATGCTTTGCGCGCCGCGTTCACCGCTTAGCCCGTAAGAACTGTTTTCTCATGAGTGGGAAAGGAATGGCAATGACCGTAACATTGAAGTGCTTATCCATTGTCGTAGTTACGGTTATGGTAAGATACAGTACAGCTACACAACCACAACTACACACAAATCATGACATAGTTTGAGATCATACATGAAGTAATATCCTGTTGTATTTTGATTGAAAGGTGCGGACTAAAGACAGAACGTTTGAGAGTGTAGACAAGCTCGTCTCCTACCACCTATTGAACAAAGTACCAATCATATCATCAGGAAGTGAAGTGCTGATAATGAATCCTGTTCTCAAGGGGTAGGGTGGAGTAGGTCGCTAATGTGTGAGAAGGGTGGGGACAGGGAAAGTGGGGGAGGGGTGGGAGAGTAGGGCAGGGCTAGGTAGGGTAAGGAATACAGTGAACCTTATACTTAGAGTAGGACAATGGGAAGTACAGAAGGTAAGCTAACGTAGGGGGAGTTATAGTAGGGTATGGCAGGGTATTGTAAAATATGGTAGGGCAGGGTAAGGAATAGTAAACCAYATTAGAGTAGGGCAATGGGGAGTAACAAAATTGATCTATGGCGGTAGGGGAGGTAGGGTTAGCTATATGTCATGATAGGAGAGTAGAAAAGGAAATGGTGGAATATGACATGCAGGACATGGTAAAGTAAATAGTTGAGTATCATATGGGAGGGCAACGAAAGGTACAGTGAACAGCTATTTCAAAAAAGGGTTGGTGAAGGTCTCCTTGTTGCATGTTGCATAACAAGCGCGAAATACACTATAGGCGATGTGAATGCAATCAGGTATACAGCCCTTTGACTAAACGTTGTCGTTTGATCGGCTTCATCCCTACTCGCCTAGACCGAAAAGGATCATGGGGATAATTAATTCACAGTTACTAACAGCTACTATCTAACACGTCTTGAGCAAGTTGTACTGGACTGGAAATACTAAATTTTTGGCTCTTATCCCCAAAGTAACGTATCTCGTCTGAACAGCGCTCAAGCAGATAGTCTTTTAGCACCTGCATGTTGTCGATATTTGGGACATCCTTGATGAAATATGATGTGGAACGGCTCTTGTTTTCCTTGCATAAAACGCGAAGGCAAATGTGCATTTTGCTCTCCATTGTGCTATTGTCACCTACTGATAGAGGACAATTAATTATTCATGTTAATTTACCCGTTATCCTTTTCGGTCTAGGCGCGTAGGGATGATCCGATCAACGACAACGTTTAGTCAAATATATACTTATACTTATACTTATCACCAATAGCAATGAAAGCTCCCATTCCATTTTCGCACAGTGAGCCCAATTTATCGATTGTATTTTCACCTTTCACTTTTACACTTTTTTTAAATTGGGCTCCCTGTGATTTTACTCGCCGAAACCTCCACAGTCTGCCAAGAAACGAAAGATTCTGATCGAATATAGGAGACTGGGTCCAGCTTTTTATTGTTTTTTTTTTTTTTCGATTATTTTTACGTAGCCAATCTAGTAAATGTGAACACATACTCAGATTATTTTATTGCTTGCCGCTGATCGAAAGGAACGAGGGCGCAGAAAACGAATTAACTAGTATACTTGTACAGCACTTAGCAACGATAAGTTTACAAAAGTCCCCTTCACAGTTCCCTGCGCCATCGAATGGTAACCGGGACTTTGCATCGATGCAATGATAGAGACGTGAATAATAAGCCTGAAGCGAGATGACGTTTTACCCCCGTCTCTAGACCATAATCCTTTTCACATTGCTCTTGTTCTTTAATTATGACTAATGTTCCTGTATTCTCTAAGGAATCAAAATTTTTAATATGAAAGAATTTTAAAAACAATTATGATAAAGAGTCGGGGATAAAACGTCATCTCGCTTCAGGCTTATTGTCCAAGGTGTTGAAAATGGTATATCATTGCAAGCTTACCGTTCGTCCCGCTTCGATGCAAAGGTACTGCTACCTTTCAAGATGGCGCAGGGAACTGTGAAAGGGACATTTCTCAGGAGATTGAAGTTCTTCTGTTTTGTCCTTCAAATTGAGCTGTATTCCAAAGTGGAAGGGGTCTATAAAAATGCACCATTCTAGTTTTATATTTTTGCACCAAAATAAAATAATGCTTATCATATTAGACGAATTTATTAAGAAAATTGAAAATGTAACAAAAATATGTATTTGAATTGAAGTCACTTTTTAAGTATATACGAAGTAGTTTGTCGTACATTTATTGATTGTTATAAAAGCGTACTATTTTGGCCTGTATTTCAAATGAAAAATGCCGGCTCTATAAAAAAGAATTGTTTGAAATTCAAAACATTTATCTAAATTGGGCCTCCTGTGTTGATAGTAAATCAAGCCGAACTCACCGCAACGATATTGAATGAAAAACCACATCAGATAAAGATAATCTTTATCACATTGTTTTTTTAAATTAAATTCTTAGTTTCACGGTAATTTACTCGGCATCAAAACTAGATGTAGCCATGTTGGTTCATCAATAAACATCATATCATCCAACATGGTGGCCGTGTCTTTTGTCATATCATCTACCATGCTAGTCTCCCCCACAGCCGCTTTCAGTGTCGTCACGCAACGCTTTCTCCCCTGAGTACAGGGGAGAAAGCGTTGCGTGACGACACTGAAAGCGGCTGTGGGGGAGACTACTACCATGCCGGCTTTTCTCATATAGTCCAATATGGTGGCCATGTCTTGTCAGTATAACATCCAACATGGTGGTCATGTCTTTTGTTATATCATCCAACATGGTGGTCATGTCTTTTGTTATATCATCCAACATGGTGGTCATGTCTTTTGTT